GGCGCTGGATTCGAACCCGGGACCTTTACCTTAGTGATAAGCGCCGTGTCAACGCTAACCGTTGCGGCCACCAAAAAAAGACCCTTGTAAGGATTCGGACATCCATGGCATCTGCGGTCATTACACGAACTCATAAACCTTAACCTTCCCCGACTGTCCGACAGTGATACCGTAGGCGGTGCTCATCTAGGGGGTGGTTAGCAATTCCACTTAAAACAAAACCGCGGCCTGGGCGGATCCGGTAGTTTCTACGCTAGGGAAGCCCCAATACTCTGGGAGATAGAGTGGCTTTCTCTATCTAGGGAGTGCGCGGGAGAACAGGCTGATGTATTTCGTCCTGTTAGCCCTTTGCGCGCAGCATACGACCCGATGCACAATGCGGGCCCGACCATTCGGAGTGGACAAGCGGAGGGCGAGGTTGTCTTGGCCCTTAGGGGCTGGGGCGTCTCTACGCCAATGCTGCGGCGGGCGATAACACCATTCCGTCGTATGCGGAGGTGCGTCAGCTCTCATCTTGAGAATCAAAACGTCCGATAAGGCCGAATAGGCCAGGTGCGTACGCTAAAGATCCTCTAGTCTTGTGACGACGAGTACTCGGGAACGAAATGTCCGACATGTGATGAGCAAGAGGATATAAGGCATACCGTATTCGTATGCCCGGGCAACAAGAGAGTTGTTTTAAAGAATCACCTGCGGCATCGGTGGCCGTAACGGGTTAGGCGTTGACACGGCGCTCATCACTATAAGATAAAGGTCCGGGGTTCGAATCCAAAAAAAAAGTCACGATAGCTCAATTGGTAAAGTACTGACGAATTTAGCCGAAGATTGTGAGTTCGAATCCCGCTCGTGACACTGACTTTTTTATCTCAACCAATACCTTACTTAAAGATTAATTAATTGAAAAGTATTTATTTGGTCAATCAGACCACGAAACCTAACCGATTACGAAAACAATTGAAAAAATGTGTGGTGATTAGTGACCGTTAGTCGATAATTATTCAGAAATCGTGAGATGCGGTCTGGTGTGATGTACAAAGGTTTCAAAAAAACATTTTCCTTTATCGTGTCAACGTTTCTAACTTTATTGAAATCATCTTCAGGGCTCAAAGCGTTTGTTTTCTGCGAAAGAGTGCCATTCTTGCGTGTCGTGTTGAGAGTGGCACAATGTTTGTAAATCCCAGGCCCTGAAGATGATCTCAATAAAGATCGAAACGTTGGCACGATAAAGAAAATATTTTTCTAAAACCTACACCACACCAGACCGCACCTCACGATGTCCGAATAATCATCGACTAACGGTCACTAATCACCACACATAATTAAGTTTCTTAAATACTTACTTCCTTTAAATACTTTAAAAAGTCATTTTATAGCTGTATTTGATTAGTTTCCTAAGAGTCTGATCTTTATCTCCTCTAATTTTTACAACATTCCATTTCGAGTAAAGATAGTGGACGGACGGTTAAAATTTGCTCAGAATAAGTTTTATCTTTTAATACTATAAAGAATGGGTAAAACTGTCATAACAGCGAATTTGTGCCTTAACATTTCTGGAGTCGTTTATGAGTAGTTTATGAGCGATTCTCCTATTCTTTTCTCTTTTCTGTAAATATTCAATTAATTATCTAATTATTTTTTTTTATGTGTGTGAGCATCCCTCGCAACGAGGATTCACTAAGAGGACCAGCCAAGAACAACGCCTCCGCTCCAGCCAAATAATACGAATACAATGTACATTCCTAAATTAGTTACTTAAAAACAATAGATTCTTAAATTAAATTGGAACCGCGGCCATCTCTACAAATAAAATTTAGGATTGTACATTGTATTCGTAATTAATACGAATACTATTATATTATCAATTTTACTTGTGTCTATTAGTATATTAATTAGAAGTATTGCCTTTAACTGTCTGGTGTATAAAACGAAATATTAGTAGTAATTATAGAAAATTGATTTAAAAAATTAAATCTAACAGCCAAATTTAGTAAGTCGTTTAAATGTTGACAATTTATATGAAAGTAAAATCACACTGCTGAAATGATAGCCCGATAAATCCTTGTCCTTCTTCCCGATGAATCGTTCGTTGGGTTGTGATTTATTTCTGACGTTTTGGTTTCACACTTTCTTCGGAGCGCCGGTAGTAATTGGTATAATAACACCATGTGTGAATCTGTTGATTCAGTTCATAAAAGTGAGAACACGATGTAAATAATCTTTACATAACGGTCACTAAATATTACTATTCGGAGATCGTGAGATGCGGTCTGGTGTGAAGTAGGTTTTAGAAAAACATTTTCATTATCGTGCCAACGTTTCGATCTTTATTGGGATCATCTTCAGGGCTCAAAGTGATTGTTTTCTGCGTAATTGTGTCATTCTTGTGTGTCGTGGGCACTCTCAACAGGACAGAAAATAAACACAATCTTTTAAAAAAGAAGTAAATGTTTTTCTAAACCCAGGTCACACCAGACCGCATCTCACGATCTCCGAATAATCATGTAGGTGTAATATTTTTATTCCTGATTTTTTTTTAAACATACATTTTTAAAGATTGGTATACTTCGACCAATACTACTTTTGATCACTATCTCTTTACTATACAATGTATTAACTTAACAAACAAAAATTAAACACATTATTTGTAATTATGAAGCTTTATGAGAATCCAAACATAGAAATATATTTACTCGCAAAAATATTATATATGTATTAATATGTTTTTTAAGCTTGACAAATTGTTTTAAAATGATTATGCATCATACCAAATGTCAGTATAATCGCATGTTTATGAAGCCATTATGAAATAAAACGAGAATCGTAAGCTGTAAGGTGACATCACCAAAACTGGTTAAAGGATATACAAATTGTACTACAACTTGTTAAATTTGTACACAAGACGGATCGCCCGTTAAAGAAGAGTTATTTACGCCATGTATTCTTACATTGACAAAGAGGAAAAGAAAATATCGTCTTTAAGACTGTATATTTTGTCAAAGCCTGGCGTTTGGCATGTGGAAGAAGGAAAGAACCCGTTTTCAATTTTTCTAATGGCTTGGTGAAATATTAACCCTCCAGTTCAACTTGAGAATATTTGGCAAACATTTGAATACGAAAACAGCTTCATGGAATGTACATTAACAAAATATATAAGACTAATGTCTATTAGGACACAGGAAAAGATTTTGGGAAGAACAAGTTTTCCTTCGTATAAAAATCGATATTAGACAGACCAGATGTGTCTGTATTTTGGATATTTTGGCTGGATTATTCTGGCCTGTTTATCCTCCTAAAGGAATGAGCTTTAAAGAAATTGTCTCTTTTCTCGAAGTTATAGATTTCAGGTTCATCGGACCCTATTGCCGTGGGACCTTGATTCGAGAGTTTTTCAAAAAGTTAACCATGGCGATTTCCGGCTCTGAGACAAATCCATTTCGAGTGAACCGGTCTACCTTGCAATATCGCTTGGATCACGTTGGATTTCTATTATCATGTCATCATCACACTTGGCCGCTAAAGGGCCCCGACCCAGTTGGAACGGTTCGAAATTGACCAAATCGACGACGTGATGGGTACGTTAATTCGTTGACTGTTAGGCGGATGTCTTTCTAGGCATAACTGCATTCACAACTGGACACTCGCAGAATTAATTAATTACTTTGTCTATGAAGATCACTTTTTATTTTTATCAGATTTCTTTCTTCAGACAACATTGATTGAACCGTTCTTGTATAATATGACATTGTGTAAAAGACTCCCATTTTGTAAGTATATCAAACCGTTTATTTAATTTCTTTTTATTGATTCATATAGACAGCATCATTTGTGAATAAATCCCAGTATAATTTAAAAAAATTTCATTTTTCTTCAATATTCCTTTCTTTAAGGTGCATTTTATGATTTATTATTTTATTATTGAATATCGCTTCATAAAGTTGAATTCTGCGTATGTATTTTTATCTCGATTAAAGGGTTACTTTTATAAAAACGTCTAAAATATTTCCTCAAAACACAAGTTTAAACATATTAAAAAATAGTCAACTTAAAAAAAAAATGTATACTTAAAGGCCAAAAAACAATATTAGTATGTTGTAATTGATATGACAATAAAAATACATACATATAGTTGAAATAATACGAGTGTCAGGTTGTTTTTGTGTTTGAGTGTATATTGACTTTTCACTTATGTTTAATTAATCTACCAATTTTTAATCTTCAATCCAAATTAGCCGACCTAGCTAAAACAAAAATTTCATGGTGAAACCATACAACATAAAGGCAGTTTTAACTTAATTAGCAAAGGAGAGAACAAGTTTAGCATGTGTGGGCAGGTTTTACGTTTTTTATTGGTAATATTTCTAGTTTATTGTAGAATTTTCATTAAAAAGGGCCTTTTTTCCCTTCAGACTGATATATAATTAAACAATGCGAGACACACTAGATTTAAAAATTGTTATACTATTTATGATTACGAACGTTTTGCAGAAAAAATATTTAAATTATATTCAATTTACAATGAAAAGGTTATTTCAAAATTTAAAAGTTAAAAGAAATCGTCAAGGTATAATCATGTACGAGGTTTGATGATTAAAAACCCATCTTACAACCTTGAAACTGCAAATTTAAGATATCAGAGATTTCGTGATTTTCAATTTAATTTAATATAAAATCTGTAATCTTAAGAAAAAATCATAAAATGGATCATATTCATGATTCAATCATCATACTGGAGTCAATTTTTTGTTTAATTTTTCAAATCATTGGTCACTCTAGGTTTAATTTCTCCCAATTAAAAGATTTTTGCTGCGATTTTCATGGTATTGGTAACTTTTGGTTTTTTTATTTGATCTCAAAGGCTAATTAATCATAAAAAACTATTGAAGTGATTAAAGTGGGCGGAAGTAGGCCAGAATCTGGATTAAGAAGTGCATAGCCTGCAGCTCGAAACTCAACGAGCCCCCATTGTTTACGACTGACTTAGTTGTTGCAGACAGCGTTACCTGAGTCCTATTGTATCCAATGAAGATGTTGTCACTGACTAACAATAGCAGGAAGACTGAAAGAAGCAAGAGCGGGATGCCGTTCGTGGGTCTTCGGGGGATGTGTGGTTGCGTGCGCAGTGCATCATCCCCTAGTCTTCGTCTTCGAAGTTTGGTGGGGACGCGAATTTTGGGCACGGCCTGCTCTGGCCTTTGGAGAAGAATTGGGCCAACAGTTTTAGAAAAAGTCGGATTGCGTTTCCTCACGCATATTTTTGACCTTGCCGTCACGTATAATTTTTCAGCATTTATGTTTGATTTTGGAAGAGCTTTTTTCCGCAGGGAAAGTAAGTCTTTGTTATATCTTCGGAAGAGCTTTCATTAAACCTTGGCAAACCGCATCAGTCAGACACTCCGTCAACTGTACATTGGTCTAAAAACAATTTAATTAGCCTTATAATTTTCTAAATTAAATCACTACATGAGTTCAAATGGCTTTTCTTCCTTCTGACTTGCTTCCGCGTTCTCGTGTAGGCCGAGGCGAGACTGGTGTTTGGCGACAAATCTTTGGATTTTCGCCGTGACTTCTGAAATCTTAAAATCCCTATATAATTCCCTATTCCTTACGTACCATGAATTGAGCATTGAGTAGAATTTGTTTTGAAGTGTTTGTTTTATTTAATTTGGTACGTCATAGTTAATTAAATACCATATGCCTACATAATCTATAAGACTACACAGAACTTTGAGGATGATGCCTGATGCCATGACCTCTAAATTCACTTCCAAAAATTTCTAATAAAAAACACCTGTTAGAGCACCTTGGTTTTGGTAGAAAGGGATCCCAGTTAATGCCGACCACATATGGCTTGCAGATGGTTCCAAAACCGAATATGGGTCAGGAGCTGGCATTCATGGAAACAAACCAAGGACTAGAATTCATATAAGCCTTGGACAATATGCCACCGTCTTTCAAGTGGAAATTGTGGCTATTGAAAGCTGTGCAGGAGGTAAAATGGCTGGGGATTGTCAATAGAAGAACAAGCCAGCCGACATTGAAGGCAATTGCCGCATCGGCGGTAAAGTCCAAGTCATTTGGGACTGCAATAGAGAGAAAACAACAAAACTACCCTTGTCTAGGTGCCAGGGCACACAGGGAAGTGGGCAACGAAGAGGCCGATAAATTGGCTGAGGGGAGTTCAATGAGGATACCTATTGGCCCTGACCGTTTGTAGTTTACCAAACTGCCAAAAACGCGGATCTATTACACAATGGATTAATAATCGTCGTCCGCTCAATGGGAATGTAGCCCGGGACAGAGGCATACGAAAAAGCTTATAAACAGTAGAACTACTAGATCTAGGATGTGTTAGGACTAGAATAATAGTTCGACTGCTAACTGGACTCAGCAGACTCCGGAGGCATATATATAGACTTGGAGTGAGAGAAATAAGCTTGTGCAGATATTGCCAAGAAGAACACGTTCTCTATTGGTGCGAAAGCCTAGGTAAGCTGAGATTCCTAATTCTGGGAGAGTAAAAGCCAGGGCCTGAAGGATACACACGGGAGCCCTTGAAAAAGCTTTGGGAGCTCTAGATAAAAAATGGAGATGCACAATAGACCAATATAGGTCGCAGTGCGCAGGTCATAAGGAGGCCGGCTCCTATACAATCTAACTTAATCTAAACTAAATGATATATTTTTAGCCACTGATTGTCCTTGTTGCACTTACAATTTTGATGGCACCGATTTTCGTAAAATCACTAGTATACAGTAAGAAAAATATTGGACCCAATACTCTTCCTTGGGGCACACCCGCATTTATTTTTCAGTTCTGAATATTGTTCATCTTATTTGAATCTAAAATGAGTTGTGAAGGATGTAGTGTTTATTAATGTATTGGTACGTCCTATACTTAATGTTAGAATTCAATATGTAGAAATTAAAGAACAACGTACATATGTATATTATACTTGCTACCTGGATTCTCTTACTGTTGATACTCTCCAAACCGACCTCGACGCTATGGAATCCTATTTTCTCCTCCTCCTCAGTTAACCATATGGTAGATCTCCTCACCGAAAATCTTTTTTCCCTCCTTAACTCTCATGTTCCTCATCGAACCTGTATTTTTCACTGCCCTTCTCCCCCTTGGATGTCTGTTTAGATTCGCGACCTGAGGAGAAGCGGGAATATCTACAATTTTTCATTACAAAACATTTTTTTATTTACCCTTTCATTTTCTTTTTATCCTTCCTTATACCTTTAATAATCACCCTGACAAGAACTTTGGGATTGAACCAGACCTTATCTTAAAAACCCCAAAATATTTATTTCCCAAATCTCGCGCCGCTACTGTTCTACCCTCCATAAGGTCCGTCGTGTTAGTCATCTTTTCCCCATCAGTACCGTAAACTTCTGGTTTCCTCTCTTATTCCACTTAACACTTAAGCGCTTAATGATTTATTTTGTACACTGTGTTTTCGGCTCCACAACGAGGTCCACATAACTGATATCGCAGATCAAGAGTGTTTCCGGGCACTATCTAAGGAGTATGCACAGTTGGCTGATATAACTAAATGTTTTCAGTTATGGCATGCTGTTCAGCAAGATATTGAGACGGCTGAAATAGTGTTGCACTCTGGCTTGAAATGGTTATACCTTTCCTACCGCGCACTAGCCTTAAATTTTAATGTATTTAGGTTTATTCATATCGTGCATACCAAACTTAAAGTTAAACTTAAAACCAACTTAAAAGTTAAAAGTAGGTTTAATTGTAAAAATTAAACATTTAAAAAGAAAATGTTTATTACCTAAAAGTATTATTGAGTAATGAGCATAAAAACAGAACATTCAAAAACAAATAAATATGTTAAAAAAATTGTCCCCTTTAATGAGGTGAACTATCACCTCTCTGTATCTCTTACGTTGATCACCGCATGGCGCACGTGGCATCGATTTTATGAGGTTTTGAATGTAGTGCTATGGAATATTTTCTTACTCTTCCAACAGAACCATTCTTCATTCCTGCAAATTCTATACCATCACTGGTGGGCTTTTTACCCTCCTTGACAACTCGTCCCAAAGGTGTTCGATGGGGTTTAAGTCGGGACTACATGCTGGCCACTCCAAACATTGAATCAAGCCCGTTCCAAGTATTACCAGCGATCCTAGCTGTGTGGAGACTTGCGTTGTCATGCATAAAAATAAAACTGTCGCCAATTAGTGGCATATGAGGAACAACCCCTTCTCACAACATATCTTAGGGAACTCTTGAATGAAGATCAAGTTTGTGCGATCTTCCATAGAAATGCCTGCTCAAACCACCACCTCCGTAGCTTCTCCGGAGTAAAAGGTTGCGGGAAATGAGGATGTATCTCTCTCCTATTCTTCTCCAAATTCTCTCTAAGCAGTCAGAAGACTCCAAACAAAACCTTGACTCATCCGAAAACAAGATTTTAGTCTAATCTTGCTCAGACAAATTTATGTGATTGCTTGCGAACTTCGAGCTGTTCTATAATCTTGCCAGAAGTTCTGGACAGTGGTAGGCCTTCTCGTAATCCAGCTTCCGAAGAACATCTCCTTACAGTACGTAAACTGTCATTAACATTTCTAAATCTGTGTGATCTCAACAGCGGTGGAATGACGATACGGAGTACATACGAAACAATAAAATGTTCATCTCTCTGATAAGTGACACGATGGCGACCTGATCCATGCCTTCTTGAGTAACCTCCAGTATCTTGGAAGCGATGGAAAATTTTTCGGACATTTTTCCGGGGAATATTAAACACCCTGGCAATATACGTTTGACTTCATCTTCCAACAAGGCTATAATTCCAGGCGAATCTGTATCACTTAAAACCATCACTCAATCAAATTTGAAACTTAAAAATGGTACAACTTTAAAAAAAATCAAATCACCGGAACTTTAGAAAGAAGCTGCAGAAGGGGACTTCGGTTGCCGAATGGTCACCGTGATAGACCTCGGCTCTAGATCCCCCCGTCGTGGGTTCGATTCCCACTGTCGCCCTTGGCCGTTTTTTTTACACACCCCCCCCCCAAAAAAAAAACAGAGAGATTTATTATTTCAAAGATTTATTAACAAAATCCAATTGTAAAGACAAGTAAAAATTTTATCTCTGTTTTATTTACCTCTAATCATCTAAACGGAACATGTGGTAAGATAATCAATGGAGGTTTGTCTAAGAGATAATTAAAAATATTAAGGGTAGCCCCTTTTTTTTTTGTTTCTCAGTATATATTGTAACTTTGTAATTGTAATAGCTCTTTTGTATTTGTGTTGAGGATGAGTCTAGAACGGTTGTACTATATAGTTTTGTTACTCAAGGGGGCTTAAGTCCCAAATAAAGTTTATTTTTTCTTTCTTTTACATTCAAGCAATACCGTCTCTAAACACATTATTTTTCATATGTTTATTTACTTGTTCAAATTATATCTCAGTAATCTCTAGGCCCACCCCTACTTTTTATTACCGCTAATAAACGGTTTTTCATTAATAGAACTTCATTTCATGTCAGTTATCAGTAATACCAAATAATTTAGGTTTTTTCACCGAATGAACATCTTTGTTGTTAAGGCATAAGCGCAAACATGTTAAGACCCCGAGCAAAACAATAGTTTCATTGGTACCTCAAGGCAGTTTCTGGCATTCGTTTAACTTACGTGGCAGATGTTTAACATATCCAAATACAACCACGGCGTGGCAGAGTGCTGAGTCATGCTCATGAGTGTACAGTGCATACGTACGTCTCACACTTACTCGAAGCACAAACGAAAGGCAGGCGTCAAATTTCCAAGCAAACTTGGATGTCTCGAGACAACGAGGAGAGGGGCAACAAAAGAGAGTTAATAGAACTCTCAAAATCCATCATTGCCACTTATGTATGCCAATAGAGTAATTATCAGGTTTATTCCATATCTAAAAACAATGAGCTGATTCCGGAAGTTGTTAATTAGCCAGGTAACTAGGAATAATCTATATTGCACGGCGTTCAATGACCACATCAGTTGGCTGGCCAGGAGAATTCGTTAATGCTACATGTACTGAAACCATTTTAGGAAGAGCTTCCCCCC